GTGGGGGAGGAGGGGGGGTGGGAGGGGGGTGGGGGGGGGGGGCGGGGGAGCGGAGGCAGACACCAGATGAAAGAAAAGCACAGTCTCACAAGCTGCAGTCCCACGGCCTGCTCACAGCAGGTCAGGCCCTGCCCTGGGACCAGCTGGGCCCCAGCCCTGCCCGTTAGCAGGTCCATGCGCACTTCTGGATGCCCAGGGCTCTATAAAGACCGGTAGTCTGATACCAGCTCTCGGATCCTGGCCCTGTGACCAGATTCCAGGACCCGGCTCTGCCTGCCAGTAGCCCAGCGCTAACCCGGGGACTTGGCTTTGAGGTGGAAAGCCCCATAAAAAGACTGGCAGGACCCTGAGGCAGGGCCACTACTCTCTTGCCAGTACTATTCCGTTTCCTGGCCCAGAGGCTCTATCTCACTTTTTGCCTCTGAAATGGCTTACTTCTAGGAAAGTGGAACATACCCTTAAAATTAAGTTGGTTCCCTGAGCTCAATCCTGATTGGTTATTTCTCTCCATCCTAATTGGTCCATTTCTACAAAGCTTGTTTTTAGTCAACTTTTGTTATACCCTATTTGCATATGATGTTACAAAGTGTAAACTAGCAGCCTATAAAAGGCTGTGTAAACCTACAGACGGGGTCCAGAGCTTGGAGTGTTAACTTTTCTGAGCCTGCTGTATGTAATAAACCTGAGTTCTCAAACTCTCAGAGTGCTGCTTGGTCTCTCGCCCAGATCCAGGTTGCTATCACAACTGAGCTGTAACATTAAGCTATAACATGTTTTTCTGCAACAGCTTCACCCACCAGTGGGTGGGCAACAGCCCCCAGAGTCCTCAGGACCCTGACTCTGCCCACCAGTGAGCCAGCACTAGCCCCCGGCCTCCTGAGGCCAATTACCTCAATTACCTCGTGACCCAGCCTGAAGAAGCAGCACCTGGCAGCCTCCGAGCAAGGCGGAGCGTAGGGCCAACCCAGCCTACCAGACAGACCGCCCACAGAGTCCTCCGCCACAGAAGGACCCTGGCAGCCTTCATGGAGAAACCCCTAGAGCATATAACATAGGTGAGGAGAGGGGAGTGCACTGCTGGAAGACACAGGACATCTCTCCTACAGATGGCCACTTTTCCAAAGTTGGGAAAGCTACCAGATACATAAAAATACAAACAGCAACTTAGGCAAAATGAGGAGACAGAGGAATGTTTCATAAGTGCTTTTTAGAACTGTTGTGGTTTTGTGGTCCTTCAAATACAAAGAATGAGAAACATGTTTTCAGCCCCAAAGTGCGTTTTTTTTTCCAATCACTCCTACTCTGGCCCAAAACAAAGTACAACTTTTCTGAACTTTTTCAGTCCAGTGGCTATTTCCTTTTTTTTTTTAAATAAAATCAAAAATTTGTTTTTATTTGGGGTTATCTCTCTGCTATTGACATGTGTATTTTTTCCTTCTACTTAAACTGTTTTTAACCTTTTTTTTAGCCTTAGTTTCCTCTACCAGTCAATCATTCTGAATGTCCATACATCTGTCTTATATGCTTTTTCTGTCACTCTGTACTCTAAAGATCTCATCCATGATAGATGTTTCAATTACCACCTATACCAAGAATACTCATACTTTTTTTAACTTTTTTTTTCACTCATACATTGTTATCTGTACTCAGTGTCTTTAAACACGTATTCACTGACCTACGATGTCTGCGCTTGGCTGTCTCAAATTCAAAATGTCATTTTGAATCTTTAAATTCAGAAAGTCAAAGCTTAGATCTCCTTCTCCTGCCCCGCTGCAGTTTGCTTCACTGACAAGGGCTATAATTCAGTGGGTCGTGCATCCACACTGCTGATTACACAAGTCAGAAACTGAATCTCCTTGATGCACTCTCCTGTCCAACTCAGCAACACTGTGCTTCTACATAGCTTTCAAATTCATGCATTTTCTCAATATTTACTATCAACCAAATGGTGTAAGATACTATGCTCTCTTACTTGGACTACTACCATGATCTCCTAAGTATTTTACCTACATCCATCCAGTCATTTTTTATCCCACTATGTGCTCTGTGCTATAACCAGAGAAATAGATCTTATCATATCCTATCTTTCCATAAAATACTTCTAATGCATCTAAGGCTCATGGCAAATGACCTCAGTCCTTATCATAGCCTTCAAATTCTGCATGCTTTGCCTTTCTTTACTGTTTCTCCTGCACCTTGCTTCATGCAGCCCTTTTGTGCGTGTGGTGGGGGGTGCGGTGGTGATTAGATTTATTTGTTTGTTTTCTGAGGAGGGACTGCGGATTGAACCCAGGACCCTGTGCATGCTGAGCATGCACTCTACCACTTGAGCTATATCCTTCCCCCTATGCCTCCCTTTATTTTCTGTTCTTGGCCTCGGCATTTCTTTATTTACATGGCATACTACTTACTAATCCTGGGCAAGGAAACTTACTGACTGCTGAATTCTGAATTCCATCCCAGTGGGCCCATTCATGCTAGAAGAGGACTCCTCTGATGGTCAACTTGTCTCATGAGTTCCATGACAACTTTTCAGATCTTCCTGACACTTCAGGGTGGTCTAAGGCTCTTCCATCTCACCTCTTGTCTTTCATTCCTTCACTCTGAAGGAGTTTGTGACCTAAGACTCTGACAGCCTTCCTGTCTGTCTCCCCATTCCACCCACCCACTCCACCCCACAGGCATTCTTCTTACAAAATCTTTGCAGTTTTCATCTATAAATTGCTTTTGTTTCTTGGAGAACTTAAAATAACACAGTATTTAATGTCTTTCTTTCTTAGGTCTGGTCTGAAGACTGAGTCAGGATGGAGCAGATAAGAAGTGTCAAGAGGTCCCCCAGTATGGAGAGGACTTGTGCAAGGACAGTGAGCAGGCGGGGACCAGTGGTTCGAGCAAATGGAGCACAACCTCTTCCTCATGTGTAAGTTCAAATCCTTCTTATTGAGAAGCATGTTGTACATGTCCTAGGGAGTTTGTGTTCTTTTGATCATTTCTTTCTCTCTGACTCATTCTTTCTCTACAGGAAAAGTATAGAGAGCTTTGTTCATTATGAAGATGGCCATTCTTGATGGAGCTACGTAGTATTATGCCTTTTATCTTGACCCCATTTTGCAGTAGATTTGACTTGTGGGTTAAATTCAATAGCTCCTTCCTGTTATTGCCTACAAGTGGTGGGTTACTTTGCCGCAACTCAGGGGGCAGTGACATGGGGAACACTAGAGATTGCTCTTATTTCCCATTTGTTCTTTTTTTCTCTTTTAGTATTTCTATTGTGTTAAATACACAGCTTTCTTATCTCTGGTACAAGTTGAATCACATTATCTTTTTCTTTATGAAACTTCTAATTCATGCATCTAACATTCTCTTTACTGGCTAGTTAAGAAAAAATGAAAATCTTGTAGCCTGCTGTGTTCATAGGCAGTCTCTCCTGCTTTTAATCTCTGCTGATGAATATATGTAAGAAGAGACGGCTAATGTGTGAGACACAAAGAGCTTCACAATAGTTTCAGTTCTAAGCTTCAGTTTACTTTTTCCTCACATGTCCTGCTCCAGAAGGATTGATCTGCCACAGGCACTTCTGATGGCATCAGTGTAAATAATTTAAAGAGCTACTGCAAGAGTAATACTCACTCAACAATAATAATGGAGCACTTTATGCATGCATCAGATTCTGTGTTCCTCCACTGAACTGGAATCATATCTATGCTCAGAGTTTCCTTTCTGAATCCTACCTTTTTCACTGCTCTAAAAAGTAAGTAAGATTAGGGTGGCAAATGTAAGTCTAAACTGAATGTAAGTCTGAACGTGAATGCAGACTGTCTTAAGATTTTATCCCTAACATCTAAGAGGTGGAAGTTGCTATTCTCATGTTTAAAATAAAGAATTTTTATATTAAAAAGTCAAGGTTACTCAGTGGTAAATGAGATTTGAACTCAGGTTTTTCAACTGCCAAAACTCCTTCCAGAAGTCAGACTGTGAATATGAATTAACTGGAGAGACAATGACTAGTTAAATCTTACCCCACTTCAAAGTCTCCAATGTCACCCACTTATCTTATTTAATGTAGAATTTAAGGCATTGACCCATGTGGTCTCAGCCTCGCTCCCATGAGTCTTCTTTTCTTTATATTTATTTTTTTCCCAGGTTTACTGAGATATAACTGACACATTGTTTAAGTTTAAGGTATGCACTTATGTATGATTGGCTACTCATACATACTGAGAAACGATCACCACTGTAAGTTGGTCTCTCCTCTTCCTACTATTTATGTCGTGTCCTCCAGGCTGGGTTCCACAGCCAACTGACCCAATACTCATCTCGGAGCTTGTCAAACATACCGTTGCCCAGACATCATATATCAACAATTGATTCACAATCTTGGTGTTGAGAATCAACATTGATAGAAGGTCTTCAGCTGATGTCAATACTTGGTGGGGGATTTGTACTATAGTTTTATAAGATGTTCCCATTGGGAGAAGCTGGTTAAAATATACAGGTGAACTCTCGAGTATTTCTGACAACTGTATGTAAATCTACAATTATCTCAACATAAAAAAATTTTATATTTAAACTGTAAGGACAGTCCAAATTTACAGCAAATCTAATTGAGTATACTGTGTTCTAATGTTGTGAAATACTGAGAGGCTAGGCATGTGTTTAATTAGAGTTCACAAAACTCTGTGGGCTTTGATTCTCTTTTCCTTTCTAACTCAATAGCTTGGAAACTTTCCGCATCTCTTCTCTATCTTAAGATCTGTAATTTTTTGCATTACTTTCTCCCCTCCTCAAAGCTCTGGGTTCATCAGAAAAATGGTTCCAAACCTCCCACTGAGAGATGATCTATGTGAGATCTTTGTGACGCAG